CAACATTTTATGTTGTAGATTTTTGTACCGCTTTATCATTTGTGTTGATTTTTTTTTGTGTATTTCTTATATTAAAAACGATGTGTTTATAATTTGAACAAAAAAAAATACGAACATAGAATTTGAGTCTGTTGTATTTTTAAACTGAAATCGTTTCAGCTCGTATACATATATTTATTTGTAAATGTAAATTATGAAACGGTTCTTTTAAAAACAAAACGTGAAATTCGTGTGTTTCTTTTAATTTACATATATACATAAAGTACATATTTTGTGTGAATGTTTTCCTCCGTGCAAAGAGACGAGAAGATGCCTCAAGGATCGCGGAAGTTCAGCAGGATGAACAAACTGGATGAGGAGATGCTGCGTGAGAACTTCAATTGGAATCCGAGGCCGAATCCTGCGGAACTGGAGGCGATAGCGGCGAGACTCAAGATGGACAAGAGGCGCGTCTGCAGATGGTTCTGTCAACGAAGGTATCTGCACAACAGGATGACCATGAGCAGCACGCAAACCATAGATGTTGAACCGCCTAAGAGATGGGTCAGGTTGTGGGTGAAAGAAGCCATCGTCCGTCTACAAACCGGAAACATATCGCAGGAACCGGAAGTGCGGTACGTCCACGACGAGGATTCCGCCAAACCCGAATGGTATTTGAACAGTTTTGAGGAAATCCCGATCGACGCTCTTCACTTCTCCAATCCTTTCCACGAGACTTTCGATCGAAGCACCTCCATGACCATCAGCGAGATCAATCCGCATACTCTAGATGGATCCGTCTCTTCGCCCATTGATCCAACGATACAGCTCGTCTCATCTAAAGACGAGACTCAGCAGATCAAACTCGCAGCTTATCCATCAAATTTCACACCTTTAATTATTCCCAATCAAAGTGCAAATTTCAACGAACTCGAGCAACTTCTTTCCAATTCCCCCAACATCATGGATTGCTTGAAGAACAACAACGCTTTGTTCCTACCCTAAATCAAGTGGACTTAGCTTAAATCATCTCATTAGAAACAACAAATTAAGAGATCAATCACATGTGATATACCAATTTTTGTCTTCTCTCTCTCAAAGCAACATCATGGACTACTTCATGATCAACAACGTTTTGTTCCTACCCTAAATCAAGTAGACTTAGCTTAAAGCAGATCATCTGAAACAAAATATGAAGAAATTAATCTCATGTGATAGTTCCAATTTTATTTCTTCACTCTCTCTCAAAGCAACATCATAGACTACTTCATGATCAACAACGTTTTGTTCCTATCATAAATCAAGTAGACTCATCTGAAACAAAAAATGAAGAAATTAATCTCATGTGATAGTTCCAATTTTATTTCTTTTCTCTCTCAACACAACAATAAAAAAAAACACGGAATGGAAGAGTATGTTGAGGATGTACAAAAAAGATGATTCATAATTTATACGTTTGTTCGTTTAAAATAAAAAAAAAATGAAAAGTGTCATATTTGTATCTTGTATTTGTTAGATTTTAGTGAAAGAAAATGGAAAGGACATACAGTTTCTTATTATTATTATTATTTAGTGTTTTTTGTTTTGTTTTAGTTATTATTATTTTCGAATATTATGTAATAAATAATAAAGTAAATCAATAAAAAAAAAGTTTTTGTGCAAGAAAAAAAACAAAAGAAATATTGCAGTGTAAAATAGAAGATTTCTAAAAGAAATATCTTAGTCAATAAAGAATATTTAATATTAAAATATCTGTTTTTTTAATTATAATTATTTGTTTATTTATTTATTTACTCCCTTGTATCAAATATTTGTTTGTTAGTTTCAAAAATTTAAAGGATTTATTACATTTAGTAAACGCCATCTATTATCGTTTGATGTTATTGAAAATTTCTGAACAATTTTTATTTTTAAAGAATTTATTCAAACTTATTGAAAAAAATAACATTTAAAAAATAAATTTACTTATATAAAGAAAGATCTAATAAATGATCATAAAAATTTTGACAATTATTAAAACAAGTAAGTAAGAAATTGTATGTTTCTTTAAAAGAACCTAACCTATATTTAGAATCTGTCAGATTTGTGACATTTACCTTTTTTTTTGTAAGTATGTTGTCAAGGTTTCAGAATCTAAACTTTTTGTTTGTCGTGTACAACATGCTAATTATATAATGAACTTTCTTATATAAAAAAAAAAACTGATAAATAAACATACACATTTTGACAATTATAAAACAAAAGTAAGAAATTGTATTTTTGTAACCTAAGTTAATATTAGGTTATTTTGACAGATGTCAATGGGTAATATCTAGTTAGTTCTTAGTAATCTCAGATTTTATTAAGATTTATATATTATTTTTTAGAAATGATGAAAAAATGAATTGAATTGATTAATTGCTAATTATTTAATTCCAAACATAAATTCTTTGAAAAAAAAAAAAATTACAGTAAATCCTCGACATACGCGTTTAATTCTTTTTGAATGTTGTCGTTTAAGTTGAAAAATCACGTAAGTCGAGGAAAGCAAAAGAATTAGGATTTTTATAGTTTTAAATGATAAGTGAAAGTAAAATAAATCTATATATTTATTGGATATTCATGATAGTTTGATTTTGCAATCTCCAGCAGTATTTCCACCAAGTAAAAGTGTTAGCCTATCTTTAGAGAACTTAAACCCCTGCAAAGATTTTTCATGTTGAAATACGTATGACCGATTTGGCTTTTTTTTTTTTAATATAGGCCACCACACTACCACGCCACGTCTTGTGGAAACTAAACTAAAATCGCGTAAGTCGAGGACTTACTGTATATAACTATTGTTTTTTCTGTTTGGAATATCAATATAATTAGTTTATATTCAAATCAACTAGTATCAAGTTTAATAGCTAATTATTCTATCTTATTATATAATTTAGCTACAACTAGCCACAACAAGACTCTTGAAGAGCCGCACGTGGCTCGCGAGCCACAGTTTGGCCACCCCTGGAATATTTGNNNNAAGTAATTAATTCAAATGACGAATTTCAATTACACAAATAAAAATACGAATTCCATTACATTTCGCATGTGTATGAACATGCCTCAACATTACGTAAAGCGTAAATGGATTAGTTTTCGATTGCTTCGATAACGCGCTTTCGCGACCGGATTTAATTATTGCTGCAACGTGCGAATGTATATCAATATCAACCCTTTCATAATACGTGTTTTATGTCTTAATTACGATGGAATTACTCAACAGTTGATCCATAAATCACGTAGCCTCAGTAAAAAAAAACAACACACGAACGAAAAGATTAAACATTCGCTGAAATGCAAAAAAAAAAGAAACAAAAACACACAAATTTTAATGGAAAATATACAAGGACAAGTAATTAATGGGTGATTTACGAGACGCTCGCACTTGTGCATCTACCATTGCTTTTTTTTAATTTGTCGACACTTTTGACTGATTAATTTTTGATTCGACGTTGGGGAATAATAATTTAAAAAAACCGTTAAAGAATTAAAGATAACTTTTTTTTGGAAATATCCTCATTATTTATTACATTAATTGAATACAGTTGAAATATAATTATTGGAATTTATTTATTTCAAAAAATATTTCTTTCAGTAACTAATTGTTATAATCATTATTTTTTTTATACATTTTTTCAAATAATTGAGTAAAATGTAATTGCTGCTTCACTTAGTGCGGTTTGACCAATATCTCGGACTATTTGAAACCGGACTAATCGAGAAATTTAAGTAATTTTTGGTTCGACGATTCAAGAAATAATCATTGTAATTTATTTATTGTAAAAAAATATTTATTTCCTCATTTTCTTTTTGCAATTTTCAAAATAAATGTTATTTACAGACATAAGGTGAAATATAAGGCCTATATACCGGACCATTTGAATCCGGACTAATCGAGGAATTAAAGTAATTTCTGGTTCGACGATTCAAGAAATAATCATTGTAATTTATTAATTAAAAAAATATGTATTTCTTCATTTTCTTTTTGCATGATGTAACGTTTCTTTTAGGTAGTTTCTTCACTAATAATAGATGACGTATTTATAATAATGTGAATACAACCGAATGTCTCGCATAGTGCGGTTCCGCCTATATACCAGACTGTTTGAAACCGTACTAATCGAGGATTTTTTTTGCAATTTCAAATTAAATATTGTTCACAGATTGATGATGTAATGTTTCTTTTACGTAGTTTCTTCACAAATAATAGATGATGTATTTATAATAAGGTGAATACAGCTGAAAGTCTCGCATAGTACGGTTTCGTCTATATACCAGACTGTTTGAAACCGTACTAATCGAGGTTTTTTTTTTGCAATTTTCAATTTATTCTGATGATATAAAGTTTCTTTTACGTAGTCTTTTCACTAATAATGGATCACGTATTTATAATAATCTGAATACAGACGAAAATCTCTTACAGTGCGCTTCCGTCTATATACCGGACTATTTGAAACAGGAAAAATAATGAAAATAGAAAAGCCATACTATAGTAAATCCGGATTGTTCGAAGGTATTGTTGTATTCAAGGTGTTGTTGCATTATTACTTTTTTTAATAATATTTGAAGAAATTGTAACGTTGTTCGTTTTAAATAGCATTAGTTCATTCATTCATTTCATCATTTTTTAATATCATTTTTATTTTTTGTTAATTGTTTCTCCAAAACAATTGTTTTATAAAATATGTTAAATATTGATAATTATAGTGAACTGTTCTATTGAAGTTGTAGTATTTTTTATTATATTAAATTGGTTTTAACAAAAAGATATTGTCTAATTGTTATTGTAGTATTTACAATTTCAGTTTGTATTTTAATTCTTTGTGAAGTTTTTGAAATTGTTAGAATCATACGTTTCTACAATATTTTTATCAGTTTCGTGTCTTTGAATTGTTTTTTTTCTTAGCTTTTTTTTGTCCTAATTCACTTATTTCGTATTTCACCATATCTCGAATCGAAGTGTATTAATAAATACAATAGAAAATTAAAGAGAAATTGAAATGATTAAGAAAAAAACGTTGGTTATTATGGTGACAATTTTATTTTCCGTCATAAATAATTTTTGGCTACAATAGAAACAGGTAGTGCGTGCACCTTCTGCTGCTAGTAAATATAGGATTCTTTTATATATTTTTGTTTTTCACAGAATCATTTCACAAAATATTCACCCAAAGATATTTTAATATTTAACCGTTTGTGGAATCGTTGTCTTCATAGAATTAGAAAATCTTCTCACTTTTGGAACCATCAAAGGATTTCGTTTGTTCAAGATGTTGGGATCAATCGTTCCCCGTCTCATAAAAATGTACAACGAATTGATGAAAAGCAACGAACAACAATTGAACTCGACTGCTTTGATCAAAGAAAAAATGGACATCGAAACAGCGTTAAATGTAAGTAATGTAATTATTGCTACCGCTTTACACTAGAGTTCGTCGAATCTGGGTAAAGTAGTCATAAAATGGGATAAAAGGTGATTTATTTGGGGTAATTCTGCATGAAATTAAAAGATGGAAAGCAAAATCTGGTCAACAGGTGTTTATGTCCGAGTTCTATTATTTTATTATAAGTAATCTTTCTTTTGTTCTCTTTTTTTTGCAGTTAATTTACGTATGCGAAAAGTTGATCATATTTGGGGAGCAGGAGGAGTTGATTAAATTGAATAAAACTGTGAACGATTTGAGAACTTTTCGTAGCACAATCAAGAAGTTCAAGTCTTTCCATTGCGAATGCGAAGAAACAATGAGATACATCCGTCTGCTTTGCAAAGCTGGAATGGGTCTCGACAATAAGTTGCCCGAGTTGGAGGAGAACATTGAAGTCGTGTCGTGGGATGTGCGGAAAACGATCAGAAGTATAATAGCGTTGCATAAGCAACCGGACGACGCGGATCTAAAAATCGAGAAGAAAACGAACATTAGCGAATTGTTGGAAACGTTGGAGATAAACGCAGTTCAGTACGATAGATTCGAGACGCGTTTGGAACATTTAATCAACTATTTGAAAATGAAACTGAAGATTAGTGAAAATGGATTGACTTATGTTCACGAAGCGGATGAATGTTTGAGAGGGAAGAACGACAAGTTTCTGAGAGACGGTGGGTCGGAGGTTAACAAAAAGCTTAAAGAAGGCTTTGTTGAGTCGACTTCGCTGAATCAAGAGGTGCTCGGGAATTCGTTGAAAGAAGTTATGAAGATGAGAGGATTTACTTTTGACAAAGACGTGAAGTCGGGGAAGATTGAAGTTAAAGAGACAAAGGAGACAAAGGAGACGCAGGATTTGATGAAGCTTCATAATTATGTTCTGGATATAGATCAGTATATCAGAGTCTTCCAGAATCTTAATAAATATACCAAACTGAGGAAACTTCAAACAGCCGACGTCGATTTGCAACAATTGAAGATGGAACTTTGCCAGGTTCAAGGATAAATTAAATTCTCATAAATTTGATCTTATCGAATTCGTACTTATGTTTTATTTTCAATATTAAGACTAAAGTATGTTATTAATATATATTTATTATTATTATTACTGTCAGGACAAATAATGAAAAATAAAGAGTTTTTTTTTTAATTATTTAGACACAAAAACGTTTTGAATTAATTTCCAATAATTAACTGTTACAATTGGCCACCTAATAATTATAATACGCACAGTCCTGTACCGCACTGATTGAAACCGTACTAATCGAGGAATTATAAGAAGAATAAAAAGGATAATTTATTTACAAAATATATTTTTGTCTACTAATTTCTTTGTATTTTGTTTAATTAATATTGAGTTTGTTTTAAAATCTTCATAGTAAATCCGGACTAATTGAAACCGCACTATGCATGGTATTTCAATATAGAACATTTCGTTTTGCTGAGAGACGGTGGGTCGTAGGTTAACAAAAAGCTTAAAGAAGGCTTTGTTGAGTCGACTTCGCCGAATCAAGAGGTGCTCGGGAATTCGTTGAAAGAAGTTATGAAGATGAGAAGATTTACTTTTGACAAAGACGAGAAGACGGGGAAGATTGAAGTTAAAGAGACGAAGGAGACGCAGGATTTGATGAAGCTTCATAATTATGTTCTGGATATAGATCAGTATATCAGAGTCTTCCAGAATCTTAAGAAATATACCAAACTGCGGAAACTTCAAACAGCCGACGTCGATTTGCAACAATTGAAGATGGAACTTTGCCAGGTTCAAGGATAGATTAAATTCTCATAATTTTGATCTCATCGAATTCGTACTTATGTTTTATTTTCAATATTAAGACTTAAGTATGTTATTAATATATATTTATTATTATTATTACTGTCAGGACAAATAATGAAAAAATAAAGGGTTTTTTTTAAATTATTTACACACAAAAACGTTTTGAATTAATTTCCAATAATTAACTGTTACAATTGGCCACCTAATAATTATAATGCGCATAGTCCTGTACCGCACTGTTTGAAACCGTACTAATCGAGGAATTATAAGAAAAATAAAAAAAATAATTCATTTATAAAATATACTTTTGTCTAATAATTTCTTTTTATTTTATTCAATTAAAATTTAGTTTGTTTTAAAATCTTCATAGTAAATCCGTACTAATCGAAACCGCACTATGCGTGGTATTTCAGCATAGAAAATTTCGTTTTTTTTTTCCAAATCATTCTTTAGATATTTCAAGAAATTTTGACGTTAATTATAATCAAACTGCATAATGGAAAGAGAAATAATTAAATTGAAATTAATATAGAAAATATTTTTTGAATTTGTAAAACATCTTTAATAATTGCGATAACCTCGCATAGTGCGGCTAATGGCAAATACATCACACTATTTGAAACCGAATTTTCATAATTTTGATCTCATCGAATTTGTACTTAAGTTTTATTTTCAATATTAGGACTAAAGTATATTATTTAAAGTCAGGACAAATAATGACAAAATAAAAAGTTTTTTTTTTAATTATTTACACACAAAAACTTTCTGCATTAATTTTAAATGTTTTCCTGAATTTCTAATAATTAACTGTTACAATTGGCCACCTAATATTTATAATATGCATAGTTCTGTAACGTCAATTTACCGCACTGATTGGAACCGTACTAATCGAGGAATTATAAGAAAAATAAGAAAGATAATTCATTTATAAAATATATTTTTGTCTACTAATTTCTTTGTATTTTATTCAATTAAAATTTAGTTTGTTTTAAAATCTTCATAGTAAATCCGGACTAATCGAAACCGCACTATG